AAGCATTTCTTTTACAGAAGGCTGAGCCAGGACAGCTGCAGGACCATCACTGAGCTGCAACTCACACACGAGGGGGTTTGCCCAGAGTGCCCCGTTGTCCCCGTCCCTGCCACGGCTCCCTCCCTCCCCACCACAAACCCCGGGATTCCTGCACTGACCAAAGCGTGAAGGGAAGGGGGCTGGGTTGGGTTTTCCACACACAGCTTTTCAGGCAGTTCTACTGATGCAGGAATTACTCCTTCCCTGTGTTTTGAGTCCTTAGCACATGGCACACACTGTGCTGGGGCTCATTCCTGCCTCTGGGAATGGCCCTCAGTTTTTCTGGCACTACACATAGAAAGACAATATTATTTTGTTTCCACAGGCAAAGTGCAGCAAACAAACCTGGGTTGTGGGCTGCACTAAATTAATCCATCAGGCTCTGCTTTGTCCTGTCTTGGAACCCAGAAACTCTTTAGGTGGTGCTGTGGGATGGGGCTTTGACTCCGGGCCTTGCAGGGGCACAGTTGTCCCAAGGCCCTGCTGCCTCAGAACCACAGCACAGAGCAGCTGCTCGGGGTTTGGTCCTGTGTCTCTGTTGGGAAACTGGAAACACCAGCAATTGTTTTTTGGTTTTTGGGGTTTTTTTTTAGTTTGTTTTTGTTTAATACATCAGAAAATAGAGGCCATAAAGAGTATCCTAGTTCTTATATATGTGTATCTTAATATTATCTGTCAATAATATAAATGGCAGTATAGGAATGGAATGTAACAATATCTTACTTGATTATTACAAAGACAGGGCAGAATGGGGGGTCCCAGAGTTCCCAGCTCCCCAGGTGCAGTGGGAGGTGGTGCTGGGGGTGTCCCAGAGGGGGATCCAGGGGGGCAGCAGGACCCCCCCAGCTCTGCCCTGCAGGGCTGGGACCCCTCAGCCCCCCGGGCTGGACCCGTCGTGTGCTGCTCCCGGGACATGGAAAGGCAAAGGGAAGGACAGGGCACATCCCACGGGGTGTTGGGAGCCCTCTCTGCACCAGTGGAGTTCTGGGGAGACCCCCAGCCCCCCGTGGGGCTGTCTCTGCTCCTCCTGCCTCCCTGCAGAGGTGCTGTCCTGGGCTGGGTCTGGGACACTGGGGTGTAAACCTGTCACTCGCAGAGGGAATCGTCACCACGGAGCCTTGGCCAAAGGAAATCACCTTGGACACGTGGGGAAATCCTTGTAAAGCTTTACCTGATTTCCAGTGTATCTATTTTATTCATGTAATCTTGGAAGTTTTCTTACTCTGGGGAATGGGAATGGCTGTCTGTGCATTCGGGTCTGGGCAATACAAAAGAAAAATATTCTCAACAGCTGAAATGGCACCGGCTTGGGAGAGACCACAGAATTCCAGGGATATTCTGTTTCTGTACAGTGCTGTTCCTCTGACAAGCCATTCCCTCGGATTTGTATTTTCTTTTTGTGTTGGAAGACAGATGGGTTTAGTATTGCATAGTAAAATATTTAAAGTCTAAGATAACAGTTCCATTTTATTTTATACAGTTCAGACTATGAATGTTCTATAATTCAGTGTGGAATTTCAGAGCTCCTTTGCTGTGAGCTGGATGATCAAACTTTCTGGCTCCTGGTGGATGTGAATGGGCACTGGACAGTCAGTCCTGCCTTCACAGGCTCTGTGCTAGAACTGTTAATGTCACACAGGGATCAGACACTGAGGAAGCCCAGTACAGATGTTTAAAACCACTCAGTCCCACTGCAGTTCATGTCCCTCTCTGGTTACTTTGTCCATATTATGGATCATTTTATGCCACTGAGTTTTGGACAAGCACTTGGATCATTTTCTAAGTCAGTTTTGAGGCACTGGAGAGAATTAACATCGCACTGAAATGGCATTTATCACCCTCACTTTATTTTGCACCTCTGAGATTCTCTGAGGACAAGGAGTTTGGGACTTTCCTCATTTCTGGAATAGGGTTTGCAAGCAGGAGACTTTTGGGCTTCTTGTAATAAAGAAATCAAACTCTCCCTAGGGCAGTATCGAGGGGGTTTTGTCTTACTTAAACTCAGGAATTCCTAACAGGATTCATTCCTAATAGTGCTTGTCTGGGAGAGCAGACCAGGCTGGGAACCAGCTCTAGGTCTGACATAGAAGGATTTTTGATGTTTTCACTAAATCCAGGATAAAAAGTTTTCCTGATACTATTCATCAGAGACATTATCCTCTACTCTGTCCATGTTCCTGTCCCCACTTTGTGTTTGGTACCATTTCTCTTATTTTAGCTGCCCTTAGGAATAAGTTTATTTAAAAAAAAAAAAAAAAAAAAAGAAAACCAAACCTCTCTGGAGTTTGTGGGAAAAACAGCCACAACTCAGTGTAACCAGCTCTGGTTTTAACCAAATTTTATTGTAAATTTCTGTTGAAGGACATTCTAATTATATACAAATTATAAAATTTACAGTTACAAAAGAAATCAGGATCATGATCATTAACTACAGCAAGTCCAATTTTGTGAAAAAATATATTCAAAAATTAAATATCAAAAGAAAGTTCATTATTGAAAAAAACCCAAACCCTCCATAAATTATTTTGCAGAAATGCTCAAGACACTGACAAGAGGATTTTAACACCTTTGCTACTACTGGCTTTGGGTGCTCGAAATCCAAGCAGCTGCTTTGCTGCCCTGAGGAGCTGCTGCCTGGCACAGACAGAGCCTGGGCTGGGCTTTGTGCCCTGTCCTTGCAGTAGCTCAGTGAGCTCTGAGAACACAGGGCTGGTGTTCCCAAAACACCTGGAGGAACAGGGGTTCTTTCAGCCCCTTCTCCTGTTTTTCCTGTGGTTTGAACCCCACCTGTGGGGTGGAGCAGCAGGACCTGTCCTGGCAGGAGCCCCAGACCCTGAGCCTGCCCTGGGTCATTCCAGCTCGGGATGGGCTGGAGACACCACAGCAACCTTTGCCTCCAGCACAGGGGACCCCAGGGTGTGCCAGTGACCCCCTGCCCTGACCTGGGGACACCCTGGGACCGAGGGCAGCTCCTCTTTGTGCCCAGCCCAGCCCGGGCTCCCTCAGTGCTGCTGCCCCAGGAGGGCTCTGCTGGAGCAGTGCACAGACACTGCTGGGACACCCCCTCACCCCCTCCCCACATCCCACTGCCAGGGGGGCTGGGACAGGGCCCTGTCTCTGCTCTCAGAGGGTGCTGGGGCTCCTTGAGCAGAGCTGGAGGAAGCACAGAGCAAACCAGTCCCGTGGGCAGTGACAGCAGCATCACTGCCAGTACATAAATCCAAGCAGGACCCAGCTCCCAGCTGCAGTCAGGGCATCTCTGGCACTGCCACCTCCAGCTGCTTCCCAAACACAGCCGGGTGGGATCACCACTTGTTCTTTCAACTCCTCCTCAGTATCAGAGGGAACATGAGCTTAGAGACAAAATATCATCTCCCACTCATTCATGTTTTTCTATTTTCAAACATTTTCATTCTTCTCTCAGCAGCTGCCTCAGTGCAGAGACCTGTTCTTAGCAGACACACCTGTTCTTAAACATTCACACCTGGTCAGTAGTTCTGTGCTCTTCCCTTTGCTTGGAACTAGAAACATTTACAGTCAAAGTAAAAAAAATAAATAAACCCAAAAGTGTACCAGAATAATCAGCCTTTTCTTCTGGTGGCAACGAGCTACAGTGGGCAGGTTCCCACCCTGCTTACTAACAGTATTTTTGAGATTAGAAAGCAGACACTGTGTTCTAAAATATTCTTCATTGATAGTTGCAGTGATTATCCTGAAACACTACTGACTTCAGACCTCACCTGTGCTGCTCTGCTGCATTTCCTGCCACAGGCTCTGCCACGTGTTTTATATGAAGAAGAAAAGCACATTCAGCAGCTAAAGCAGTAACAGAGGAGAAGCCACAGAATCAAAGCCCTTCTCGGGGCAGTGGAAGGTGAATGTTGTGTCACTACAACACCAACCCTGGTTGGGTCAAAGGGCACTAGTTTGGCTCACTAAGCACCACTCCCCTGTACTGACAAGCCCAAACTGTCTGTCCACAGAGGTAGGATCTACAACTATTTCCTTCTCCCCTCCTCACCCAGCAGGTACTACTTGATGCTCAGTTGTTCTACACAGAAACATCCTCCTTTCACAAAGTTAAACTGTAACTGGCAACTCAGGCTCAGAAAGGCACTTCAGATACTCCTGTGGTTTGGTCTGGTCTCAAGGAAAGCTCCAGCAGCCCTGTCCAGCACAGTGGGATGTACAGCCAGGGAGTGCCCAGACAGGGAGGGGCAGCAGCTCTGGGAAGGATTTCCCACCACTCACTCACCTGGCTTAGCCTTGCAGAGGAGCCACAGGCACATGTTTTTTGAAACAACCATATTATTCACATTATTTCTGAATGCAGTGGTTCAATCCCCATTAACTGGACCTGCCTCACTTACTTGTAGGTGTTTTTTCTGTTGCCTGCAGGGCAGTGACAGCCCCTGTGGCTCCGACCCCCGTGCCCGCGGGAGCCCAGGGGCCCTGGCTGTGACAGCACCCGCTTCTGTCCCTGGGTCCCCTCCCACCCTCTCCTCCCCAGCCCCTCCACAAAGGGTCGTTTCCTCCCCCTGCTGCTCCTGCCCCGGGCAGTTTAACCCACCCTGTGTGTGGGCTGAGCTGCAGGAGCAGCTCGAGCAGTGATGCCCTGCGGTGGGAGCAGGCGCAGCGGGGGAGCAGCTTTGGAGCCAGGCCTGTCCTGCACACACAGAGGGGCTGCAGCAGCTCCCAGGGACTCACAGGAGACACGGCCGTGGTGACCCGGGCTCAGATGAGCCGCTCTGTCGGGGGCATCTTGATGACGTTCCACATTTCCACTCGAGCCCCGTCCTTCTCCTGCCGGCTGGGGCTGTAGGTGCCCTGCGTCGCTCTCCTCCTCTTCATGGCGATGGCCGTGGCTGCCAACACCACCAGGAGCAGGGCAGCCCCCGCCGCCCCCACGGCTCCCACCACGGAGGAGTGGCTGAGGTGAGCCCACACTCGCTGCTGTGGTAGAACAGGGAGTTACTCAGAGCTTCCCCTCACGGCCTCTCACCGCCCTCAGCCCCAGGCCCAGCACCTCCCTTGCAGCTGCACCGACAGCTCTGCAGGCCAGGAGCTCCCCCCTTCCCTGTCCCCTCCTGTCACACAGGGCCCAAGGAATGCAGGGCAGGCTGGTGACCCTTTTCCTGCTCCCCTCTCCCCTCCACACCCCCCCCCCAGAGTCCAGCACGTGGCAGCTCCAGCACTGCCCCAAGGCCCCGGAGCGCTGCCTGCACCTTCCCTGCACGGTACCGTGGGAATGTCTAACAGCACCACGTCATCCCACATGGATTTGTACAAGGACTGCTGTAATTCCTGACAATTCCCTGTAACACAGGGGCTGTCACAGGGCAGGAGGTCACAGCTGCTGTTGCTGTTGAAGACTGAGAACCTCACACACCTGAGCTGAAAGAGTTGGGAGTGTTTCTCAGCTGTTGGCAAAGGCCGAGCAGTTCCACAAACCAGCCGTGAGCCCCCTCCCCACAGCTCCTGAGCGGGGCCCAGAGCTGAGCCTGCCCAGGGCTCCTTCCTCCCTGCCTTGGGAAGCAGATTGAACGGGGCCACCCCTGCCTGGCAGTGGATGGAGCCAGAGCAACTCCAGCACCTGCCCCGTGCCCAGGGCCGGGCAGGAGGGAGGGCAGAGGCTCCCTGGGAGCCCCGGGGTGGCCGGGGCAGCTCCCTCAGGCAGCGGCTGCCTCGTATGGAACGTCCATGTCGTCGTGCCCAGGCCTTAAGGAAACTGGGATGGGGTGGATCTGCTGCTGCAATGCTGGGAAGAGCTCAAGGTCCGAGCAGACCTTGCAGGTGCATCTCCTTGTCCCGGCAGGGCCTAAATTAGCCGCTCTTCGGGTGGCACCTTTAGCACACTGTCCATCTCCAGCCGAGCTCCTGCCACCTCCTGCTGGCTCGGGCTGTAGGTCCCCTCGGACTGGCGCCTCTTCCTTGCCGTGAGAATCATGAATATGAGCCCAATGCTGAGGAGCAGCAAAGAGCCACAGGCTACAGGGACAGCTACTTCAATTAGTGGGGAGGGGAAGAGAGCACCTGGAGTCCCTTTCTGTAAAAGAAATTAATGGAGAGACAATGAAACCCCAGTGGTTACAATAACTGCAACAGCTGACCCAAACGGTCAGATTAGAGGGAAAAAGACTTTTAGAAAAGCAAAAATAAGGCACTTTTTCACACCGGGACAGCCCCTTAAGATGAAAATGCCAGTACACTCAGCATCCACACTGGGAGGCTTTAAAGGGGCCCCCTTACCAACATCAGACTAAAATACACAGGTGCCACTGGCAAAGATCTGACCAGTGTTGCCAAAAAAATATAAAGTTAATGGAGAGCAATGTAAATTTTCAGTAACCCCAAAAAATTTCCCCAAGCGGGGGAAAAAGAGTTCAATTATGCATCTAATGGCAAGGCAGAAAATTGATTTGGCTGTTAAACTGTGGAAGAGGCTTGAAGAAAACTTGCAGCAGGAAGGGGAAGATGTTAAAAAGGTCAGGACATGTATGGGAGATGGAGATGATAAAAGGCCCAAGTACTGAGAAGAGAAATGAGAATTCTTTAGATTCTGGTGGAATTAAGGATGGCATGGAAGACAACAACAAAGAACTAAAACAACTGTGGAATTTCTGTCATGAAAGAAAGTTTTAAAATTACAGTACGCCTAAAAATATGAAATATTTCTTATTGCTAACAATGTATCTGCCACCTTGCAAACCAAAACAATTCCAGCTGGATTAGTTACAGCTTCTGGATGCCATTCAGTTTGTTCTCACACAACAAAGCACAGAAGAAACATTCCCAGAGGACCTGCAAGTCCTTTTGCCCCTTCCAAATGCCTGAAGTTCTGTTTGATGCCCCGAGCCTGCCCAGACCCGAGTGCAGTGCAGGGTTAGTTCTGGCTTTGCAGAGCATGCAGGTTAGTCCAGCCCCAGCAGTGCAGCCCCTGCCTGTGCTTGTGCTGCTGCTGTGGGAGGGGGAGAGAGCAGGAGAGCTCAGCTGCCACCCTGTCCCTCCTGGCTGTCCCCAGGGCAAACAGCCCCAGTCCCCTCCCTGCCCACCATGGCCTGGCCAGAGGGGAAGGAAAGAAGTTCTACAAAAAGCAAGGTGGTGATGAACATGAATAAAGGAATCCACAAGAAGTGTCCTGGGACAGAAGGGATGGAGATGCCTGAAGGAGTCTGTGCATGCAAACTGGAAATGTCAGGGTGACCTTGGCACGTGTTACAGAGCCCTCGGGAACAGCAACAGCAGCAACCCCCGCCTGGCACGCGGCCCTTTCCATGCAGGATGGGTTAGTACATTCCCAGGTTACCAGACAAGCGGCCTGTCCATGCAACAGCTGTACAGAGAGGAAGCAAGGTGAGGGTCCCAGCCCCCTGCAGGAAGGATCCCAGCCCCCCTGGACACTGGGATCAGACACACAGGGACAGCAGGGCCGGGCCTGGGGGCAGCGGCTCAGGGACAGGACACGGCTTTGAACTCGGACCTGAACCACTTTTAGCCCCACTTCATCCCACTTCCCTGCTCCAAACACATCCATTGCTACTCGGATGATCTTTGCAACTCTCATGCAAGACCAAATGCCAACTGAAATTCCATTCTCCAGGAAATTGGGCCAACTGCAGTAGTTGGATTACTGTCCAAAGAGTTGTGAAATCTCTGGAAATGTGCAGAGACAACCCCAAAAGCCCTATGGCAGCACGTGCAGACGCTGAGAAGTGTTTGCTGCAGTTGTTTGTATGCTGGAGACCAACACACAGCAGCACTGCAGGGAAAAAACCATTTCCCAGTTCAGGATTCTCTGGTCCCAGCTGACTCCCTCCCTGTGCAGGGACAGATCCCCAGCACCCGCAGCCCACGGCCCGGGCCGGCTCCTCCCCGCTCCCGGTGTTTAAGGGCCCGGCTCCTCCCCGCTCGGTGCGCAGGGCGGTGCTTACGTTGATGTCGCAGCGCTCGCCGGTGTAGCTGGCGCTGCACACACACTCGTATCTGTTCTCCGAGTCCTGGCACGTGCCCCCGTTCTGGCACGGGTTGGGCTCACACTCGTTGATATTGATTTGACAGCTGCAAAGGAAAAGGGTGTTAGAATTGTCGCTTATATCCTTGTGCCACAGGACACAAGATCGTACAGTCTAAAAAAGCCTCCTTTACTTGAAAAGTGCCTGTTATATCTTTTTCAGGTGCTTTCTCCAGGGTTCAACAACGTGACATTTCCCCCCTTCACACCAACCCTCCTGCTGTGGTTTCTGTGGCACTGGGGCCAGCACAGGTCACCAGCACTGGTAGTGAGTTCTCACAAAGCACAAGGACTACTTGGACACAGTTCTTGCTGCAAAACCTGGTGTTGGCAGCAGGACGATCTCAGGGCTCCCTCTGCTCAAGGGAACGGCTCGTGCACACTTTAGGAGCAGCCCTTTGATGGGCACAAGGACATAGGAGAGGGTGGGGCCTGTGACCCTCCCCCGAGGAGGAGCCAGAGCTCTGGCTCCCTGCAGCCCCCCAGAGAGCAGCACTTACTTCCTGCCGGTGAAGCCGGGCCTGCAGGAGCAGTTGGCTCCCCAGCTCTCCGTGACGCACCGGCCGCCGTTCAGACACGTGAAGTTCTTGCCACACTGCTGGGGTGGGAACGGCCACCTGTGGAGAGAAGGGACAGCCTTTGGAGCAGCCAGGACTGGGGAAGGGCAGGGTGTACCGGGCTCAGGGGGCCAGGGCTGCAGAGGGGCGTAAGAACAGTCACTGGTGTTTCTAGGAAGGACTTTGACACAGGTGGAGAGGAGGAGTCTCAGAAATCTTCCTTAATATCAGAGTATTACTGGGAGCATGCCCAGAGAATATGCAGGAACTGTGTCAGTACCAGGGCTTTTTTCAGACAGTTGCCTGTTCTTGCTGATGGAAATACAATCAGGGACAGGATACTGCTGGAATGCCCGACGGCAGCACGGCCAGGCCTGGGAAGGATAATGCCAGTACCAGGTAACTGCACCAGAACACAGCAGGAACAACAGGAAATTCAGCCTGGGAGGGTCAGATAACTGAAGCTCAGCCATATGAGCATTCATCTCCATGTTCCATTTGAACCTGCACAAGTTGTTTTGTTTTTTAAATCAATACAGGAATATGGCAGAGGGGAGTCAAGTCCCAGAGAAGATGGACTTCTTGGGGAACACTAGAGGGAAGTGACAACAGACTAGAGAACTTGCCCTTTAAACAGCTCTGAAACACAGCATGGGGATAACCCACACCAGAAGGAAGGATCCTTATCCTGTACAAGGCTGAGCCCCGTCAGTGAGGATTTGGATCTGGACAGAACAGTTTAGGTGCTTTGCCTACCAGATACCGGCAATGAAAAATTTTCCCCATTTACTTTGGGGGGTCCCAAAGTAAAACCACCGTGTCTCTGGGGCTGCTGCAGCAGAGCAGCCCCGGCACAGCAGAGCAGCCCCAGCAGAGCAGCCCCAGCACTTACTCGCAGCGCGGCCCCGAGAACTGCGGGGGGCACTTGCAGGAGTAGCCGTACACCCCGTCCACGCAGGTGGCCCCGTTCAGGCACTGGTGCCGCACACAGTCATCCACGTTGATGTCACACCTCTTCCCGATGAAGCCCCGGAAGCACTCGCACTGGAAGTCTGCCACGGCATCCCTGCAGTCCCCGTGGACGCAGGGGCTGGGCTGGCAGTCGTCCAGGTTGTCCTGGCAGCGCCGCCCCCCCCAGCCCGCGCCGCAGGCGCAGCGGAAGGCGTCGAAGAGGTCGTGGCAGGTGCCCCCGTGCAGGCAGGGGCTGGAGGCACAGACGTCGGCCCCGGCACAGCCCAGCGGGACGGGGCCACCCCCGGCCTGCAGGAACTGCTCGGGCTGGGGGTACGGCCGGGGGGCCGGGAAGGGCAGGTACAGCCCCCCGATCTGCACCTGCCCCAGGCAGCCCGTGAAGTTCTCGGCCAGCACGACCAGAACGTTGTTCTTGAGGAAGTCCAAGTTCCCGGCGCTGCCCTGCAGGGTCACGTTCCCTGCCCCATCCAGCCGGAGCAGCCAGCGGGAGGAGGGCGCAGCCGGCTCCTCCATGGACACGGAGATGGAGTGCCAGGCCCCGTCCGTGACCGGCTGCGGGCTCTGGAAGGTGACACCCTCGATGCTGTTCCCACTCCTGATGGTCACAAGCAGGGAGGAGTTCCTGATGGCCACCTGCAGGGAATCCACCTCTTCCACAGCCCAGAGCAAAACAGCATCTTCATCCCTGGTCCTGAAATCCATGTGGAAGCTGCTCAGGGTCACTGATGTGTTGGTGGTAAATTCAATGGCAGAGTTACTATTAAATGTTGCATTAGCCAGACCTATAAATAAAGGGGTAGAGCATGAGGGATTTGAGACAGTTAGTGTCATGTCTGAGACAGACCAATGGCACACTCCTGGCAGGTTCCCTCCCTAAGAACCTCGTAAGCTTAGTGTGAGCAGGATTACAGCCCGAGCTGCTGCATCCCTAAAGCTCTTCCTGTTTACAGTCACACCTCTGGGAATAATATCCAGCTCTGTGTAGTAATTTTTACTCATCAGTCTCACTGCACAAAAATCCCACTATTCCCCTGAGTCAGAAGAGTGACAGAGCCAGGGTAGGTGACAGGCACAGAACCAGCTGTGCTCTGTCCCACCCGGGGTGAACCCACAGAGCCTGTGCTGCTGCAGGAGTGTGGCCCTGGGCACCACTTGTTTTTGCAGCGTGTGTTTGTATTTATTTCAACAGCACAAACAAGGAACATTGATCCTACCCAGGGAACATTCAGGGATTTTACCAACACACCAGCAGGAGAACAGAACTTACACACATATCCTGCTACAACGTCTACGCAGGTGGTGGCTTCAGGACAAGGGTCACTTTCACACCAGACTCTCTCTTCACAAAATTTCCCAGTGAAATTTGCTGGACAGCTGCAATGGAAATCATTCCAAGTGACAATGCATCTGCCACCATTCTGACATGGCTCAGACTGAAAAACAAAATGGGGGAATTTAGGGGCAGCATAATTCATCTCTAGGTCGAAGAGAATTTGGTAGAATTGTGACAACAAAGATGAGTATGAGCAGCATTTGAATTAAGAGAGAAGGGAAATGAAATAGCAACTCAACGGCAGTGAAGGAAGCACAAGGGTCTCTGCACAAGAAATTCCTGAGCCCCTGCTTCTCCCCATGCCCACCACTGACCTACAGGAGCTCCAGCAATTTGGCAAAGAAGTGCTCACAAACGAGAGACATCACATACCTTGCAGGTGTCATCGGAGATGCAGCCATTCACAAGGTTTGCAGTCTGGGTCCCGTTGAGTTCCTGTAGCACACTGTAGTTCTCAGCCTGGAAAAACTGTATCTGGTGGTTGTTGAGTTGGATGTCCTGCAAACAGCCCTTGAAGTAGCCCCCCCACAGCTCAGCAGTGTCTGGGTCCGGGTGGCCCCCAATAAACACTTCAGAACCAGCTGGCAGAGGCTGTGCCACGAGCTGTCCCAGCTCCACGTGTGTGTCCCACTGCTGAGCACCAACAGTGCCTCCTTGGAAAGACAGAGCTACCAAATGTCTCCTGCCATCAACCACATCCTCTGGAAAGGTGACAGTGTCCGCGGGTGGCACCTCCACCCTCAGCTGGCCGTCCCTCAGGTAGATGGTGAGGCCGGGGCCCGTTTGGTTCCCGATCTGCAGGAGCAAACCGTGGGGCTTCCGACTCCGCAGGAAGAAGGAGATGTTGAAGTCTGCACCAAGGCTGTCAAAAAGGGTGAAAGAGGCAAAGCTGGTGGAGTTCTCGAGGCCAAAGGTGGCTGCTGGGCGCTCTGGAAGAGAAAAGAAATGCCCATCAGCTCAGAGACAGAGGGAATGCAGCTGGCACAGGGATGTTCTGAGCTGCAGCTCCTTAGGAATGGGGGCAAATCTTTCTTCTCAATGTTTTCAACCTGTGTCAGGGTAACAATGCTCCTCCCCAAACGTCTGTGAAACTAAGTAGGTGAATGTGTCCTGGCTTTCTCTGGAGGGCAGGAATTCAAGCACCCAAGGAGCACGAGAGTCTAGCAGAGCCCTTGCCAACCCAGCAGATTTACTCAAGGACTTGTAAGCCACAGAGTTGCTCTTCAAACTTGTAAACTTGGTAACAGCAGTAACATGCTCAGAATTGAAACAAAAAACTTGAACAATACTAGTACAAGCCTTTCAGGAGCTTGTATTGAGTTACAGACACAATTTTAACTCAAAATTGCCAAAGAGCTTCCTTTAACATTTTGTGGTTTATGTATAAAGAAATACATTCCTATTCATCCTCAACTCAGAAGCTCAAGATGAACTTTTCCCAGTAAAACAACTTCCCTGGCCCTGCACTCACACAGATCTGTCACAAAGGGCAAGTCAGAGCCTCTGGCTCGACCAGGAATAACACACACCACAAAACTGCCAGTCATTCCTGCAGGAGCAGGAAAGGGATCAAGGAGAATTTTATTCATAGAGGCTTTTGCTTTAGTTTTGCCCCTGGTCAAGTAGAAAATACTGTTTGCAGAGCTGACATCAGTGCTTCTCTAGCACCTCTGGAGCTGGCATGTGTGGATGCCGTGGCACTTACCATGTGAGCAAGCTGGGCCTCCGTAAGGCCTGGCACAGTCACACCTGAAGGTCGCCCAGAGGTCCACGCAGAGCCCCCCGTGCAGGCAGGGCTGGGAGAGGCACCACTCTGTGCGGTCACAGCCCGGCCGCACCACGGACGACTCTCCCAGCGGCAGATCCGCCGGCAGCACGGCTTCTGCATCCACCTGCAGGTCTTCCAGGCAGCCCACAAAGCCCTGCTGGCTCCGTGTGTTGTTGGCCACTGAATCCTCAGCACCTCCAACACAGAGGCTGGAGAAGGCCCGTGGGCTCCGGGCAGTGCCAGGCGGGACAGGGGCGCTCTGCAGGCACACCCCTGCCTCACAAGAGTCATGCCAGAGCCTCAGCTCCATGGCGCTGTGCACCACGACCTCCACCTTGTGCCACTGGCCATCATCCACTCTGGGCCCCTGCAGGAGCAGTGGGTACCCCACATCCTCCCTCTTCAGCTCTGCGTGCAGAACACCCTCCCAGAGCTCCAGGAACAGGAACTCTGCTCCGTGGCCCCGGTAAAAGAGCACAGCGCTGGGCAGGGTGGTGCGGAAACGCAGGGACACGCTGGGCAGCCGCTCTCCTCCTGCCGCCCTCCCGCTCTCATTGCCCCCGGGCAGCTCAACGAGGAGATACCCTCTGGAAGCAAAGGAAAACGTCGTTGGTGTCGAGCACGTGGCATCAGAGAAGCCAGGCTGGCACTGGCACAGGTGGCCGTGGCTCTCGGCTTGGTAGGTGGGGATGCACAAGGCCTCGTTTTGGCAGTCGTGGGTCTGGCACCCAGTGAGCTTCACAGAGCAGTTCTTCCCTCCCCAGACAGTGCCATCCTGGCCAGGGGCACAGTGGCAGAAATAGTCAGCAATGCCATCCTCACAGACAGCTCCGTTCTTGCAGGGCCCCTCCTCACACTCATTGATGTTCACAGCACATTCCACACCTGCAGGAGAGACAGAGAGACAGGATCTCACTGCAGGCACTGAGACCATTCCCAGAGCCAGCCCAGCACAGCCCCCAGCGCTCCCAGAGCCACCAAAGAGCCCCACACTCGCTGCTCCTGGTGGGAGAGCAGGAAAACCAAACTTCTGTGTCCTCCCAGGTGCTATTTCCAGAGCTCTGGCCTGGCAGCCACAGCGCCCACAGCCTGCTGTGCTCTCCCAAGCTCAACCACCACAGGGAGTCAACATGCAGAGGGGATTAAAGGAACAGAACAGCACAGACAAGGATTTTATGCTTTTTTCTTACTAGATTTGGTATGTTGAAACTCCAGTTAACTCTATAGATCTGACTGGAGCATGTTCCAGGCACAGTGCTGCAGACAGTGTTAAAATAGGAAGTTACTGGAAAGCCTCGGATTAAAAAATTCAAATTCCAAGATGACCCACCAGTTGTAAAACTCAACAAACTGAATTCCTAATCACACAACAGACAAATCATGCTCCACAGGCACTCTGCCATGCTTGCACTAAGCTGACTTCCGTTCTGCCCAGTCCTGCAGAAGGAGGCTGGGGGAGGTCCTGCACTGCAGCTCTGCCTCCTCAAGGCACGTGGATCCCAACGAGGCCCAAGTAAATTACAGGCCATTACCCCAAATCTGGTTAATGAAGATCTGCTGTCATTTTCCTGAGCACCCCCAGACTGACAGAAGAGCCCTTCTGAAGCAGTTCACTTTATCTAGCTCATAACGTTGGTTTTCACTAATCTTCAGAGACAGTCCCACAGATAAACCAAGCATGGATTATCCCAATCTAATAGCATTACACCCGGATCCAGCCAGCAAGCACAACCAGGGCAGCAGGAAGAAAAAGAAGGAATTCACACACAAAGGAGAGGAATCAAAACACAAAGGACATTTGTAAAGAAAAGCCACTAGACAGAATGTGCATGTCAAAGAGATTACAGAGTTGGCTGGGGGAGAGAGATGAGGGGAGATGGGGCATTGGGAGCACTGGAGCTGGACCTGATGTGTGATTAAAAATAAAAATTCAGCAAAGATACAGGCTTCTTGAATATTTGCAGGGATGGTTTGTCCCCTCACAGGCAGAACTGCCCCCATGATAGTCCCTGCTGTCTGTCCAAGCTCCTCCCTTTGTCAGCCCCAGTGAGGGTGCTGGTACCAGTGAGAGCTCTGCAGAGAGGGGAGAGCTCCAAACTGTTTGTGCCAGTGTAGGGACACAACACTGTGCAGCTCTGAGAAGCACTGAAAGGGAAGTGCAAGGCTGGAGTAATTCAGCACTTCCCAGCTATGCCAGAGCTGTTCTGCAGTACATTATCCTGAGACATTGCTCTCTACTGATGTGAGCTAGAAGAGAGCTGCTCTGCAGTGCCTGTGGAAAAGCACTGAATTTGGACACTATCATCTGCCTGGAAGAAGAGCTGAGCTCAGATTCAGAGTTGCTGACACTACCCCAGCACAGCCCTTTTGCCCTGGCTGTTAATGCTGGGCTTGCTCAGCACACAGAGCCCAGGCTGTGAGCTGACCTGTAAAGCAAACAGCAGGGACTCAAGATTGCAGCACAAAGCTAAGGAAACGTGTGGGAATAAATGGAGTACACGGGACATCACTGGGCCTGGAAAAATCCCATCTTGGGAGAAGACAGAAAGACTTCAATTGCAAGTGAGACAAATCAGTAGAACTACGTGGAGTGGGTTTCTTGGAGGGCTCTCCAGACTGCAGGAGGCAAGTCTGCAGTCAGATTTAGGGGAGAGGCTGTTGAATAAGGAAAGACAGGTTTGGTACAGTCCCAACCCCTGGAGATGCTGCTGGTTCAGATCAGAGCTGCTGATATTTACCGGGGCAAGGAGGGGAAGAGAACATTGGTCTGGATAACAAAAGGAGAGATGCCGTGAATTTTTGCATTTCTGAGAGGGCTGGGAGGAGGGGAGAGGCCCGTTTTGCCATTCCACATTCCCAGCCTGCCCAGGAGCTCTCAGGTTGTGCAGCAGCAGCACCACCTGCCTGGGCTGTCCCCAGCACACCCCTGTGGGGTGAGTGCTCCACACCGGGTGGCAAATTAGCCCCCAGGGCGAGTGCACAACCCCAGGCTGGTGGCTAATTAAACACCCAGCTTTCCCATGGGATGCAGCTGCTCTGAGCTCTTAGATTATCTGTTTGAAGGGAGTGGAAAGCAGAAGCTGTACACACTGCTGCCCAACCTCATGGCCTGCAAACAGGCACAGGAGATGTTCAGCAGCAGAGGGGGCAGCTCTTCCTCGAGAGCCAAAACCACCAGCATCATCTTTGTCCCTGTCCCTGTCTGTGCCAGCACACAGCCAGCCTTCCCAGGCTAGCTCCAAACAACCCCTCCTGCATTCCTGCTCTCCTAGGAGCCAGGGCAGTGCCAGAGTTGAATTTAGTGCAGTTTTTAAAACAAACTGATAACAAAGGAGACTGTGCAAGAGTTTGAAAAATCTGGCTAACACCAATTCTTTTCCTGGAAGTCAATGTTACCCCTTGCTGAACAGTTACCTGGAGCTACAGCACTACAGGTTCCAAAAGTACAGATCATTTCCTGGATATCCATTATTCCAGTCTTCTCCAAGACATGGACAGATGTGTCTTTGCAGACACACTGGGAAGTAGATATTAAGAAGTTGTTCAAAACCAATTTGTTTCTCTAAGTATAGGATAGGCATCCCTTTTTAGGTATATTTGAAAAAATAAAAGGGGAGGGCACAACTCAGTCTGACAAAAAGCAAGTTACTCTCCCGTAGTCCCCTGTGTTCCCTCTAAATTTCTTAGCTCGAATGTTTATTGTTGTTTGAACCATCGCTAGTAAGAACAATGTTGCCAATCTGCTTCATTACATCATTAGGAGACTTTAAAATGTTTAATGAGTTCCTTATCTAGTTAAAGACTAACAATAGCAAACCAGTGGAACTTGTTATCTGAAAATCAGACAAGTGGTATTTAAAAGGCTGCTATCTGGAGACAAGGATTCCAAACATCCCAGTTAATTCCAGTGTTTGAGGGAACAGTCCCAAGCAAACTCACAGGGGCTGGGTCAGAAACCCTCAGAAGTGGCTGAGCTTTCACCGTATATTCAAATACAAATCCTTCCCCACATTCCAAGTGGTCCCGCTGTGGTGGGAACAGTTCGTAGGTGCAAGTGGGATTAAAGCCCTGAATGGAGTGATTTACTGGCCGCCATTAATCAGCAGAGGTTCATTGTATGCAGTGTAAGAATCATACACCTCAACAGATACATCAAATGTTAAAAGAATAAGCACACACAAAGGGAAATATCCTAATTTTGCTGCCAGATACCAAAAAACCTTGAAGGACAAGGTCTGTTCCTTGAGACACGGGGTTCAGCGGGGCTGCCCGGCCGGCACCGCCTCGCCTGCTCCAGGAGGCAGCTGAATTCCTAACGACCTCTCCCTGCTGCATCCTAATTAGGGACTGTATTATTATTATCGAAAGAAAAAAGGAGAGGAGGGGGAGAGGGGGCAGAGAGAGAGAATTAGCCGCAACAAACGGCCCCCGACACAATTAGATTTGCACAATTACTGCCATTTCCATGGCAACCCCTCTCTGCCCGCTCTCGTGCCCCAGGAGGTGGGGAAGGGCACGGGTCGGCAAAGGGCAAAAACTACTCCTCAAACAGGCAACCCCAAACCATGGAAGGGAAAAGGAAAGCTGCGAAGACACCTGTAAAAAGCACAGCTAAGGTTGCACGGACCTGCCCGGGGTACCCGTGTGCCTGCCCCGCTCCCGGAGCCCACAGCCTGGGAGCAGCCCGGGATGGATCCCTGGGTACTGCACGGCCCCGGCAGAGCTGCAGCCCAGGCACTGCCGAGCTGGGCCCCTGCCACAAGGACACTCCTTGCCCTGAAGTTTCCAAAACAAAACTTTAGGTCTCTTCAAAATCAAAACATTCTTCCCTTCCGATCAATCCCTGTTCCTCCTCCTGCCTCCAGCCCCCACGGAGCCCCATCCCGCGCCCTGCCCCGGGCAGGCACACAGAGCAGGACACGGAGCCCTGCCCGGAGCTGTTACCTGCGAGCAGAACAATTCCCTTCAGGATCACGCCAATCAGCGCAGATTCCATGGCCGACTCCTTGTGGACATTGGTGACAGTAAAGGGGAAAAAATGGGGGTGAATGGGGGGAGGGATCACAAAACAGGCTGGACCGACAGGGCAGGACGTGTGGAGGTGCTGCCCGTCAGACGGGAAGGGATCGGAGATGAAGCAGCGGCTGGAGCAGAGCCCTGCACTGCGCCAGGTCTAATCCAGCCCGGCCCTGACCCTCCCAGCTGGCCCCTGGCCGTGCTGACACCAGGAATGTGTGCTCCCAGCACTGCCCTGCAGTGCCCACAGCCTCGGCTCCAGAGCAAAGAGCCAAGACACAACCTCTGGCCCTCGCTGCCTCCCAGGTGAATCTGCCAAATTCCATGAACAAGGCCAAAATATGGATTTTTCTTTTTATAGGCTAAGCCAAAAAGCTGCATTTCCACCATTGTGCAATATCTAAACCACAGGAACAAGGAGAGTTCCAAATGCAGTGAACCTGGGCCCTGCTGCACATTCAGAACTGACTCAGTCGGGACCATCCCATAGTTTTCCTCCTCCCTGTGCCCTGTTCCATGGATTTGTGAGCACAGGCATTTCCACAGTGTATCACAGAGAAAAGGCTCAGGTTTTATTGACCACGATCTGTTTCTCTGCAGTCAAACTGGATGGAAGGAAATTCCCTGTGTTAAACTGACTGTACTGGTTTAGACATGGCACTGCAGAATCAAAACTCTTTTTCCTCATTAACAACCTTATCGAAGTAGCTGTTGCAGTCTCCTTTTTTTCCTCTAGGGTTCTGTTTTGGTTTTTTTTTTAAATATAGTTACTTTCATATTATAAAATTCCTGGAGGCAGAATTGTACTTCTACGTTGTAAGGACCCAGAGAAGTCTCCTGTTTCTGTAAAGAAATGTTATCTGGGAGCTTTTCCCCAAACTTGGAGTCTCTGTTAGTATCCATGTCAGGTCCAAGCAAACAAAACTCCCACATGTCAAGGTCTGGAATCTGCATTAGCAGTATCACTAAGATATTAAAAGAAAGCATTCCAACAACTCATGTAGCTATTGCAGTTCCTTAATTTCACTCAATCCAAACATGCCAGTCAATTTTAGAGATATTTTAAGTGGGAGGGATATAGTGAGTGTTTGTTTGGAGTCAAAACTCCTCAGAGAGCCACATCCGGGTCCTGTGCACGCCCAGACCTGTCCCAGCACACATTTGGAGCACTATCTCAAATAGCCACTGAGACTCTTCTGTTGTTGAGGGGAAAACAAATGGGCAGCTGTGCCCATTCAGCCACTACTGCAACAACAAAATGTAACAACTGTGCAGACTGGAAAACATTAAATCCCCTAAAAGAGACCCGTATTTTGGTCTGTACACCCACACATCTCTATTTCCACACCCACAGGCCCCCAGCACGGCCCCTGCTCTCACCTGGCCCTGCACAGCAGGCTCTGGCTGCAGCACACTCTGCTCAGAGGGGCTGATTGCCATGGAGCTGGGATCCAGCAGGGAGAAGCCGTGTGGAACGGGAGGGAAGCGGGGGAGTCTCACCCAGGGCTGCCTGGCTCCCTTCAGCTATATTTACCGAAAGGGATTTGGTTGAAGGGGGAACAGGCCTCTAATCTCTTTACTATCTTAACCTTTTAGCTGCCCTTGCTGTAGAGGCAATGTCTCTAAAACAAATCTGACATCAAGAAATACCTGCACAAAAAAAATTAAATCTATCCAAAGGTGGTGAGAAGGAAGAAGCATCTCCCATTTATTTCTTGACCCATGACCCAGGAATTCAAGCCCATTTGATCTGGGCTGGCACCCTCACAGAGTCACCATTTATAGCTGCTGCACAGAAGGTTTCTACTTCTTTAAGGAGACAAAGACACGGTGGCTGAACAAAGTCAGATGGTCAATAAGCACTCCAATTACACTGGGACACAGTCACACCACAGCACCCCAGTGCTCATCAAAGTGCTCCTGTGCCTCAGCCATGGGCAGAAAGGCTCAGAATGTGCCATGATCACAAGGTGCCACTGCCAGGGCGGGATGTGAGTGGTGGGAATGCCGTGCTCTGGGAATGTTGTGCTCTGGGAATGTCACGCTCTGGGAATGCTGTGCTCATCCCCCTCACTGGGGCTGGGCTCAGGACACTGCCTTCCTGAACACAGTTTTGGCAGGAGTGCAAATACGAGGCCATCTGGAAGTTTTTTAAAGAGTGGATGATCCAAACTCCACTTCTGTGGTTACATTCTTGCAGGTTAAAAACGTCAGTTTTTGCCCATGTCAAATGGAGGGACCTTTTCCCTGTCCTGGCCTAAACTACTGCCTAGTAAAGATGTGATGGACTGAACCTGTTCCTATGAATAAAGAATTCATTTTGTTGGACATTTTTTTCCCTAAAAGACAGACTTTTTCTAATATGCTTTTTCTCTTTACCACAGTTGACATAATTTCCAAGACCATGCAAGATTCACTCTCCTTCACACTTCATTTAGTGCCCATGCAATCTTTTGATTCATTCCATCCTCTCAGGGTACACAAATCCTCTGCTCAAGCACAGACTGTGTGCTGAACAGACTCTTCAGGACCTGTCATGTCGTTCTCTGAGGAATGAGGCACCGCTTTTGCAACAACCACATTTCAGAGAGAAGGCTCATCTCCCCGCCTGCCTCAGACAGCACTGAGGCAGTTAATTGGCAAAGAATTTCTCCTGACTTGCATTGTTATCCCAACACTCCCCAAATTCCTCAGACTGAAGGCACAAACACAGAGCAGGAACCCCTGCTGCCCCAAGAAAGCATTCTTCATCAGAGTAGCAAGTTCACTTTAATCAGCGGAGGCAGCTTAAGCCCAAGTTCATGGCAGATCTAAGCTGCCACAGAAATGTGTTTTGAAGAGAAACATTATGGGAAGCTTCACAAAGTTGTTCTGTGATCCTAATATGAAGTAATAAGCTGTTTACCCAGCATGACTGTACTGGGATTAATTGACAAAGGAGGGGAGATTAATTGCTATTATTTCCCTGTCAGCTTCACTCCTCCACACGCACTCACTGATCTCACAGGCTGCTCCTGCCTTTCGCTGTGTTAATGTGTCAGAACTACCTCAGCTGAGACAAAGTCCTTTACCAAGAGCAATATCCAGAACAGCAACCTGCTTCTAATCCCCTTCAAGTACTAATGAACTCAAATTTGATGCAACAGAATGAACTCTAGTGCTCCTTTGCCCATCATCCCATGTTTCTGTCAGCTTTTCTGCCCATGAGCACACTAAGAATTGGAATGGATTAAACAGATCTGCAGCTTGGCAAAGCACAATGAAATCCTGAGCTCTGTGAGGGTGCTGGGGCACTGGAGGAGGAAAAGAGAACAGGGCACAGATGTGAGTGGGAATTCTGACAAGAAGGATAAACTTCAAACCATCTTTCTGGACAAGATCTCAGTTCACAAGAACAGCATTGTAACTGCCCGAGAAAGCAGCGAAAAAGAGCTTAGGTAAAAGCTTCTTTTCAAAGGCCTCATCTACAAAAGCAAATTTTTCTTGGCCTGGCCTGAATTGGCAAATGAGATAGGCCAGAAAACCCCACAAAGAATTCAGCCCACTTACAGAAGGTGTTAACTAGGAGCTGATTTTAGATTCTGGGAATGAAAGTAATAGGCCTTCCCAGGAAAGAGCTGGGCAGGATTAAACCAACACAGCTCAACCACTGCAACCACAGAAGGAAAACAGAAAACTTTCCCATGCAATAAAGGCCTGAGACAGTCTCTGGAATGCTGCTACCTGCTGTTGCAAGTTAAGGGACAAGGTTTTCTTCTGGCATCAAGTTTTCCTCTTTCCCACGAGATGGCAGCCTGGTAACACTGTGGAAAGGTTGCCCTCACCTCAAATAGAGAAATACAGACCATGCTGGGGATCACCTTTCTTATAGACTACTTTGGTTTCTATTGCCCAAACAGAGTTTACATATGGAATTTCAAGATGCAGAGGACTGAGAAGGAATATTTCACACTAAGAAGAGGTTTAGTACCACCCCACAGAGCTGACGTGCAATATTCACCGTCCCCCAGGTTCTCAACCTGAAAACTGAACCCTTAGGGTCAGGCAGGGCATTTGGGTCAGAATCCAGACTCCCCATCCCCTTGTAAACAGAGAAGGCTTCCTTTGCTCACATCACAAAGACCTTTTGACCTCCTAACATAGCAGATTACTGCCTTCAGCCAAAAATGGCTGGCTCTTATCATCCAGGGGTGTTGGGGAATGGAGATGTTTTACAGATGTTTATGTGCTGGTGAGCCAATCTGCTACACCAGGAGTTCCTGACAGCTAGAATGCTAAGCACCCTTTTTTATTTTAAAGCTGCTTTTGTTCAGCAGGTCAATATGTGCATTGGAAAACCCCACAGCTCTCCCAGGGAACTTTCACTCCAGGATACAGATGTCCCAGATACTCTGATCTTAGACTATTTCATAGTTGATCTCCAGACCTAGTCCATGGCCTATCAAGTTATTTGCCCACAATCACACAGCTTTCCCGTGGCATTTGAGCCCTGACCTGCAGACATCCCACTCCCACAGTCCATGGGAGCCCTGCCCAGCTGCCCAGGCTGGAATCCTGCAGCCAGGCAGCAGTGCAGCAGCTCAGAACGAGCCAAACAGAAGGAGCTGACTGCAGTCCCCCCCTCCCCAGCATTACCTGAATAACCAGGCAGGCAGTGACAGAGGAAGCCGTTCACAAGGTCCTGGCAGAGCCCTCCATTCTGGCAGGGCTGGGATTCACACTCATCCATGTTGGTAAAGCAGGTCTCCCCTGGAAAGTGGAAACACAAAGAGGCATCTGAGGTGCACTCCTGCAGCAGGGAGGGAAAGGATCTGAATGACAATGGCAGTCATCATTTTTTGCACTTCCTTTCTGTCACTTGAAAATGCAAAAGAATTTCTTGAGCTGCAGGATGTCCCTGCAGACAGTGGCACACAGGCACCACCACTGAAACAATGGGGGAAAATGAAGTGTGGAATTATTTTCCAGTGTCAAGCACTGGCAAGGTCAGAACTTCTGCACCATTCTCATTTGTGCCATAGTGGACCAAAGACTCATTTTTGTCTCATAAAATAATAAAGTATTACTTTATTATGCTTTCCCACCAGGGAATTTCCCCAGCTGTTAAATCCAGCCTTTTACACATATCTATAATCCAGGGAAAGGGTGATATTTCAGTGGAACATCCACAAAGCTCCTAGCTCCAAGAGCACAATATCAAGAAACCCATCTCCCACTCTGATTATACAGTTGCTGTCATGAGAGCTGTCTCATCAAGGAAACGCTCCAGGGAATTAGCTTCCTCTGATGAGGAATTTCACAGATATCCCCCAGGGATGAATTCTGCCATATGCATGAGAGACTGACAAAGGGAAACCACCCTGGCACCTGCACAGCCTGAGGGCGTTCACTGAAGCACCGGGGAGTGCACAGGCTGCTGCCTCAGCCTGGAGACAGGCTTGGGCAGAGAATGACACCCAGCTCTCTGCAGTATATTCTGCACTACACTCCCACAGCGGGGAGAGCAGCGTGTTCCTGATGCATCAGGCTGCCACCCTCTCCCAAGTACCAGTGGTTTTTGTCACAGATTTGCCCCTTGCCATCTCCTCAAAGCCCACAGCAGTGTGTGGGTGGCCATTCCCTGTGCAGCTCACCTGTGAAGCCTGGCTGGCAGCGGCACAGGAACCCCGCGGCCTGGCTGGGGCTGAAGGTGCTGGGGAAGTCGGGCTGTGTCCCGTAGTAGGCTGGGTTGGAGAGCTCCAGGCACTCGCCCCCGTTGTGACAGGGCTCTGTCTCACACTCATCCACATCCTCCTCACAGTCCTGCCCCGTGTAACCTGCCAGGAGACCCGTGTCAGCACCAGGCACAGCTTCACTGCAACCCACCTCCCAAACCCCGGGGCTGCCTTTTGGGCTGGTCTGCAAAGGGCAGCAGCGCAGCCCCTCTGCCCAGCAGCCCCTCTGCCCAGCAGCCCCTCTGCCCAGCAGCCCCTCTGCCCAGCAGCCCCCCTGCCCAGCAGCCCCCCTGCCCAGCAGCCCCCCTGCCCAGCAGCCCCCCTGCCCAGCAGCCCCCTTGCCCAGCAGCCCCCCTGCCCAGCAGCCCCCCTGCCCAGCAGCCCCCCTGCCCCAGGTTGTGCAGTGTGTTCATTAACTCTGCCTCAGCACAGCAATGAAGCCCACGCTGGCCCTCCCTGTGCCCACCTGGCCAGCAGGCACAGCTGTAGTGGTTGATGCCCTCCAGGCACGTGGCACTGTTGAGGCAGGGGTTGGAGGCACACTCCAGGATGTCCAGCTCACAGTGGTCCCCCTCGAAGCCTGTGTCACTGCAGTCACAGTGGTACCTGTGGGCACCAAACACAGCAAGGCATCAGCTCTTCCTTGGACTGCAAAGCCCTGTGTGAGGAAAGGGCAAAAGGAGCTCAGCTGGCACGGCTCAAACCCAGTTGTGTTCACACCTTACCCATGGAAAAGTAAATTCAGACACACAGGTATGCTCTCAGCATTGCCTTTGCTGTTCATGCTCTGCAAATCATTTCCTTTTGTATCTGTTCCTCCCTTCTTTAAACACCCCACGAGTTCTGCTGCTGGGAGGGAGCTTCTCCCAGTAACAGCCACAAATCACTGTTAGTGCCACTGGGATGTACAAAACACTAAATCCAATTCCCCCCCAGATTTCTGCCCTGGTGTCTAACTGTCCACCCACCCCTGGTTCCTCACCTGTTCACAAGGTCCTGGCAGGTGCCGTTGTGCTGGCAGGGCTGGCTCTCACACTCATCCACGTCCACCTCACAGTGCATTCCCTGGTACCCTGGAGCACAGGTGCAGGTGTAGAACCCGATGTGGTCACTGCACAGGGCCCCGTTCTGGCAGGGCTCCGAAGCACATTCATCTATTTCAGCCTCACAGTTCACCCCTGAGTCACAAAACAGAGAAAGGGCTGGGTTAGAAATGCAGGAACGTGCATTTGTGCTGCCTGGAATTGTGAGATGGGGTCACAGGAACCATGTTATGAACCCAAACTGGCTACCAGAGTGATCTGTTCTAATTTTGCCATAGAATATTTGGGAGCTCAGGAAAAGTACGTGATTCTTACAAACTAAGGACCTTTAATTTTTATTTGCTAACAAAATAATTTTGTCTAGACTTTTGTACTTTAGTCTTCCATCAGAACTAAAACTAGTTTCCAGTATTGGCAAAGCTTTAGTCTCTCTCATTCAGGTTTGCTGAAGCAGCCAATCAGTCAGCACTTCCCAAATAACATCCATTTTCTGAGTAAGCCATAAAATCTTGATCTTGCACACAGCTCTTGTGAGGTTTATGACACCTGCTTTGGTATCTTATCACACTATATTCCACCTCTGAGTTGCCAGTGGCCTGGCATCACCTCCAAACCTTCCTCACTCCAGTGGCACCTGCCAATCCATCTAATCTGCCCTTCTTGGCAAAGGCTCCCCACAGAGTGGACATGGCCATCCTAATCCTGGTGGAATGTGGGCCCCCTAATCTGCTGCTTCAACCCCCTCCCTACCCACACTAAACTTCCTTCACCCAAATTCCAGCTGCAAGCACCAGGATCAACATGGTCTTGCCAGCCAATGGTGCTGGAACTTCTGGGTGAAGCACTAATTCACAAGGCAAAGCCTCATATTTGACATCAGAATAATCTGGAGCACAAGCTCCTCCAGCTGCCTGGGTCATTTTATCACTTCTTGGCAGGGGAATCCCACAATCCTGAACTGAGGATTCAGCCTAAAGATAAAAAAAGAACCTGACTTGCAAAGACAGAATTTTACTTGATACACAAAATCACCAGTAACCTGAAGGCCCACACAGAAACTCGGCCTTTTTTCTCCTTCATCTCTGTTAATTTTTATCAGAGGGTGAGTCAGCACCAGGGACTGCATTCCCAGTGTTGTAACTTCTCCTCATTCCACTGGTAATCAGCAGCATTCCTGCACAGCAACCCAACTCCTTAAACACTTCAGTCTGAATGGGAGGAAGGCTGAGAAAGTTCATGTGCGAGGTGGTACCAGGCAGAGTGGGCACATTCCAGCCCCTTCCACTCTGATAAGCAGGGCTGGGGGAAGGAGAGCCCCCCTGCCTCCCTCACAGATAACCCCCACGTGTGGATTCCTCCCTGAGCCACATTAGCACAGATGCATAAAACAGATACTTATGTCACATGCCAAATACACATTTGCCAGGCATGAAAGAATCAGAAATCTCCAACTAAAAGTCACTTTATTCCAAAAAACAATTACTTCCCTCGGAAAAATCCTGCTAGACAGGACAAAGAACTAGAGGGCAGGTAGGCAGAGATAAATTATACCTGTAAACAGTAATATCCATTTCCTCATGTTTATGTATATCTCCTTTAATTTCATTCTGAGAACTAATTACACTACTTTATATGTAGTACTCAAGTCTCAGACAGTCCACCCACTTCCACTCTTGGATCCATGTCTCTCAACATCCACACCATCCATGGAAATCAAAGCCTCAACTATTGCCTGGAAGCCACAACAACAAGCCACACACCATTTTTCACACACAGCACCAAACACTCCAGAAATACAAGTTGTGCAGCAGAGACGGAGTCTCACAGCTGTAAAACAACAGCATCTCAGGCTGTCACCAACACCCCAGGACACCTCAGCAGGAGGCCACTGTGGAACTGCAGGAGCAGGGAGATGTGCCCTGACCCTGGGCAGTGGGTGGGCAGTGCCTGTGTCCCTGTTCCCAGCCCCAGGCAGTGGGTGAGTGGTCCCTGTGTCCCTGGTCCTTGTGCCCCATTCCCGTCCCCAGCAGTCCCTGTGCCTCATCACCATCCCCGGCAGTCCCTGTGCCCCATGCCCATCCGTCCCTGTGCCCTCCCAGCCCCGTACCGGTGTAGCCGGGCGGGCAGCGGCACTCGTAGTGGTCCATGTGGTTGAGGCAGGTGGCGTTGTGGCGGCAGGGCCGGGACGCGCACTCGTCGATGTCGATCTCGCAGCGGTAGCCCTGGTAGCCGGGCACGCAGAAGCAGCTGTACTCGCCCGGGCCGTCCCTGCAGATCGCGCCGTTGCGGCAGGGCCCCGAGGCGCACTCGTCCACGTCGTGCTCGCAGGTGGCCCCGGTGAAGCCGGGCGGGCAGAGGCAGGAGAAGCCCCCCGTGCCCTCGATACACGTGCCGTTGTTGAGGCAGGGCTGGCTGGAGCACTGGGCGCTCTCGGGGTGGCAGCCTGCCCCGCTCGGTCCCGGTTGGCATCGACAGCTGTACCCGTTGTCTCTGTCCACGCATTCCCACCGGGGGTCAGTGCAAGGGCTGCTCTCACACTGGTCGGTGTGGTCACAGGCGGTACCTGTGGGCCCGGGCTCACACACACACGTGTACTCCAGGAGCCCCGGAGTCGGGGTGCAGCTCATGTGGGCAGGACAGTCATGTTTGGTGCAAGCATCATACAGGAGTTCACAATTTCTGCCCACGTAGGCTACAGGCTCCACGGGGCAGGTGCACTGGTAACCCTCTTCCAGATCCTGACAGCTCCCACCGTTCTCACAGGGGGATGAGGAACAGCCACTGTCATTTTCTGAGTATGAAGTTCCTGTTGAGAAAAGACTTTCTGTCAGTCAGCATTTGTAGCTCTAAAGAAAAAAGTTCTGCTGATCAGCACATACAACTCAGAGATTGCCCACCTACATTCCACACTCCAAGGGGCTGTTCCAGCCATGAGCTGAGAAGGATATTGGAGAATCAAACATTTACTGTAAATCAGACAACATAGCAGGCCTTTGTGTGGTGGCAATCAGGAATTTCTTGCCAAGTTGTGTGAGTAGGCACCTGCTTTTTTAGGAGACACTCACGAACCAACTATTTCACTTGTGCTTATTCATCCATGAGTCACTTTGAGAGCAGTGACACGCATCACCTTAAATCCATTCACAAGATTAACTTCGTGTAAAATTCCATGACCCCTTTCACTGGCAGGGCACAGCACTGGTGCCTGGAAATCCAGAGAGGCAGGATGGGCTGTGGCTCTGAATGTCCCAGAGGCTCCTTCTGGGGTTACAATTTTTTCCTCAGCTAATCCACCAGTGATTTGAAGATGCTCCCATAAATAATCCAACCCAAACTCCAAAGGGACACATTTCACACAGTCTCTGATTCCATCAAGCTGCTCAGTTTGATACCACTGGCCCTCACCTCTCCCCATGTCAGACATGCATATTCACACAGCAGGAAATCTTTAGGTGTTACAGCAAAGCAGAGCAGAGACTGATGAGATTCACTGATGGCATTTTAGATCCAAGCTCTTAGTGCCTACCGAGCCAAAACACCAGTCTAATAACTGGAAGTAATGCTGAGACCAGATTCCCCTAAATCTGGGAGCATTTGGATGTGATCAGTTAACTCACACCGAGCCACAACGCCCTGCTGTCCCCACAATGGGAGTGTTTAAAAGGCTCTTGCCCCATTAAGCAACTCCACCATCCAGAAATGCGATGGGACATGCCCACTGAACTGCAAATTTAGTTCATACAAATGAGATTACACCGGATACATGATATTAAAAAAAGACAAAAGAGTGTTCAATGTAGGTATTTCTCAATGGAGCAGAATGGAAGAATAGGAGGAATCCTCATTTCTTTTCCAAAAGAAATTCTAAATTCACTTTGTGAAACAAGGGGCAGATTGGTCAAAGGGCAGGACAGCCCAGGGGACAGGAGATAGTGGCCATGATATCAGAATTAGGATATATGTCCTGAACTCAATGACACAATAAGCACTTTGCAAGACAAAAACCAACCAAAAATAGTATAAAGGGACAAGGCAGTGCAAACAGAGAACTTCTCCCTCCACAAAGGTAGCAGTCATTAGCACCTCATCCCACTGCAGCTTTCCGAGATCAGAGGTTTTCATTCTGCTCAATTCCAGGATAAATGAGAGAGAAGCTGTGCAGTAGAGATATCCCAGCCTGATTCCTGCAGAAGTGTTAGGAAACATCCAAACTTGGAAGTAACTCTGCAAACAGCCATAGTGCAGATGTTTGAAAATGCCTGTGAAAATCGGTCTCAAAGCAGAGATGAAGCTCATGAAGGAGCAAACTGAGAAACTGCTACTGCTCCTGGGGAGACAATCCCCACTTCCCTGGCACTGGAAGTCAAGCCATCCCTAGAAGTCTTTGTGTAAGCAGCTCTTCACCCTTTCTGCTGCTTTCTCTATGTACCCAGGCAGTGAGGGGTCTGGGAGACCCCCAGAGCTGCAGGGGCAGAGCAGGCAGGTATCCCACAGCACCCCCAGCTCCCCTGGCTGTGTCACTGCTTCCTGAGGAATGTTGTTTTTCCATGCCATGCTCCCTGCTAAGGCTGTGCCAGGATCACACCCCACAGCTCGGCTCCTCAGCTGACCTTACACATTCTCTCACTGCTGCCTCATTATCCCAGCCCAATTTTGGTCATGTTTGCCTTGCTCTGGTGCACCTTCGACACCCCCAGTAGTCAGTCCGTGTCAGTGGCTTCCCATCAATCTGCTCCAGCAGCTCCTCAGCGCTTTGTACCTGAAGGTGGAGGCACCGACTTCAGGGCCTGAAAGGGATTTATTGGAGACTCGGGTTTACAAAAGCCTGCCCCTGCCCTGACCTCCCCCAAATTCCTCCCACCAAGAGACCGTAGAGTTTCTAAGTCTTCTTTTAAGAGGCCGTGCTGTGGGGGAGGGAGGGTGCTCAGGGATTTGGGCAGCCCTTTCTCTTCCCAGCATCATCTCCATGGCCCACCCCTGCCGTCCCCTCTCATGTGATGCTGGGGAGAGCTGCTGAGCACTGCACTGTCCAGCAATCCCATTATTCTGCCATCAACCCTTTTATTCTCAGATTCCCAGTCAGGCAGAAAACAAGGATGACGGAATCTGCCTGGAATCTCTGTGGCAATTAGAGAGGAAGCCCAGGAAACTATTCGCAAAAGAGCTTTCCTAGGCAGGAGCTGTGAGCCTTTGTGTGCTTAATGAGTGCCCGCCCCAGCCTGCTCTTTGCACGGCCCAGGAGCGGGGCTGGGCATGGAAAAGGAGCCCCAGTGCGGGGCACGTTGGGAAGGAGCTGCAGCACATCCACCTGCACAGACATTCCCATTTCAACAGCCCCACCAGGCACTGCAGGGAGCCAGGCTGTGTTCGACCGACTCGAGGAGGTTTCAGATGCATCAACAGCACCAGCTCCAAGACCATCACACACTCCCCTGTATCCAGGTCGCCTGTACTAATAGGGAATATTTCCCAAGGGCAACCCGTGCCCCTGTGTGAATGTATTCTAACCCTAATACTCCTTCTGTGGCAGTGCTAAACTTCTGGCTTGAGAAAGAGCACAGACGATAATATTTTAGCTTTGATTTTGTTATTTTCAACCATCAGTCCAAGGACATGCAACAATTCCTCTCAATTTTGGAAAAGATTATTATATAAATTTGAATAACACATGAATATGCACCAAATGCTAATAAGAAAAAAATGAATAAATTAGTTTTTCTTGCTGCAGATCAGACTACACTGTTTCATGAACACAGTGAAAATTGGGGCAAAGAAATCACTGAATGACAAGAGTGTATAGTTTTCCACAAAAGCAGTTGTTGCTGGATTAACAATGACATTCAGGATTTTTCCTTTATGTTTCACAAGAAAAATATGGATTAGTGATGTCTGTAAGGGAAAAAACCATTAAAAGTATATTAGAGTCATCCTATCCTGCAACCCTACTCTGAAATGAAACTGGAGGAGGCTACAGCTTCTTTGAAGAACCCGTTCCAGGCATTTAGGGGTGGATTAGGAGGAACTTCAAAGGCTAACAGAGTCCCATATAAAGCATTCATTGAGCTCTGCCAGGACAGGTCTGGTTTTACACTTTAAAGGTAGCTGACAAAGATTTTCCTAAACGATGAGGTTTGTGACCTTTTGTAACACTTTAAGGCAAACAAGCTGCATTACCAGGCTCTGTTTTAATAACTGACTTCGATAATCTTATACTTTAGACCTTCAGTGTATGATCTTATCAAAGAGAGTTGCAACAGTGAGTTTTCTGAGCACAAGAAGAGAAATCAGAAATTCATGAGAAGTTGGGTAATTACTTCACTGCCCAGAGATGCTGCTTTAGCATTACTCACTGCCTTCTGTTTGGGGGTTTGCTTTTCACAGGTTTGTTTTTCCGAAGTCTTGGGTAACTCTGGCAGAGGATGGATGCCCTCAGGCTGGGCACACACCTGACCTCGTGGAAGCTGCTCAGTGCTGCACTGATAACTACCTTAAAGGTGTCTGAATGGCCACTTAAAATTCCAACGGGGAAATGGCAGCATGGGGGTTATCAACCCAGAGATTACCTTGTTTCCACTCCGAAGGCCAAAAAAAAAATCTAAAGCAGAGGCGAGGGTACCTACTGACAATGCCCATCTCCAATCCCTGCTCATGCACGTGCCCTGCAGTGGGTGAGAAATGGAACTGTGGCATCCCCTCTGCTCAGAGTCACAGACATGGCTCCCAGGACAGTCAGGACACCAGAATTTTATTTTCTGGCCTCACAAAACCTTAGTGTGAGCTTGGGCAAGGCAGATCCAGTTGGAGTAGAAAGAGGCTTTCCTTCAGGTGTATCTCACCTGCCCTGCTCACCACAACTGAAAAAAACCCAGTGTAGAGCCAAGAGGTGAGAAGAGCAGGATCCTCAGAGCACCACAGGTCCCAACTGCACCACAGTGACAGTGAGCTCCAGGGTCTCCCAGTGCCCAGGCTGTGGGGGCTCAAAGCCCCCTGGGCAGGTCTCCCCGTGCTCCTGCTGCTCACCCAGCACATCTCCCCCTGCACACACAGCCCGAGGCCAAGGGGACGAGGGAACCCCTCCACCAGAGGGGATTCAGAGCAACACAACCACTAAATAAACTCAGAATAAAGGAATGGCAAGAGTTGGGTCTCCATGACAACAGGAAGGCATGTGCTTATATTAGTAAATCCCTGCTGACCTCTGCTGATCTTTCCCTATCCTGGTCAGTGTAAAGGATTAGTGAAAGGGTTCACACTTTGGCCTGTTCCCAGGATCCACACAACCAGGAAAGAAAACTGGACAGGCCTGGCAAGGGGCCTTCATGTTCACCCTCTCTCTTCCCAGCCCTGCTCAGTTGGGAAGGACAGTTATGGAAGGGAAAGGCAGGAGAAAATCAAATCCTTCTCTGGGAAGTACCTTCCCTGTACCTGTTCAGAGAGGGGATAAGGCCTCTTCAGGTGGCTTTACTCATCCCTAGGGCTTTACAAGCCCCATTTCCTCCCTGACACATAGAGATTAAACCCTTTCTTCTCAGACCTCAGCAAAGCACCTGCTCAGAAATCAAGGCCCTGAAACTCTCTGAGACTGCTGACGAGCTCCCGACTGCTAATAACTGATATTTCACCTCAAACACTCCGTAACCTGCATTCCCTGTCCTGGTTAACACAGCAACAAGCACTTGTGACTGCTGCTTTAACAGCAGGCTTTTCTATTGAGCCTCAGAAAATGGGATGTGGGTTGGGAAACTTTCCAAAATACCAACGTTTGATCACATCCACTATGGCCCTGAGCAGCAGCAGCTTCCCACCATCACCAGCCCTCAGCAGCTCATGGAGTAACTCCGTGACTCTGGGGCCCAGAGTCAAGTTCTTCCTGCCCATTTTTTTAAAAGGAAGAAAGGACACTCAGATATATCTGCTAAACATCATCCTTACCATCTCGGGTTATCAGCTTATCAGACCTGACAATTTATGTGGAGATAGGTGTGGCACACCGACCAAAAAAACCAAACCCTGAAAACAAAGATTAGCTAATCCAAAAGCAGTGTTGGCAACCAGCAGAATAAACAATACAGAGTGAATGGATGCCAGGGATCCCAGCAATGCCAAGAGTGTCTTTCAGAAAAGTCACTTTAAAAAAAGCCTTACTTTTCATGGCTTTGATGTCTTCTATAGAGTTCTGGGAGATTAAACACACAGGCCCAGGATCTCAGCCAACTATCACTTTGGATACTAATTTGAAGACCTCTCGTGACATCCCTGTACACAGGTCAGATGGCAGTTTTAGGCAGATATTGTGCATTCATCACTTCCCAGACAGCTTCTGACGTTGTTTTGCTTTGTTACCAACCAAATTCCAGACCACATTTGTACACTAGGCTTTTGGTGTGACAGAGCTTTTTCATGCCAGAGCTTTGTACACAGTCAACTGGCGTAAAATATTTATATGGAATTTATGAAGGCCTAGGCCTACACTTTCATTCAGACAGGCAGGAGAAGATGTGGCTCAGGTTCCACTCATGAAATATTGTGCAGAATATTTCCCCCCTCAAAGAAGGAGGATGCTGACTCCTGGCTCTCTCCCATCCAGCTTGCTCAGGGAATTACTGGAAGGTGCCAAACAGTGGGCACCAATCCACAGGGACAAGCAGTGCCAACACCATGGTCCAAGGCATTAACAGCATTAATCAGAAATATCCCTTCAGGGAATTGAACTCATTGTTAACACAGAACAGAAGCCAGCTAGCTTGTGTTCACTATCTGTTCACTGTTCTCATGCAGATTTGGAGGTGTAACTCCCATTATGAGGCTTCTAGAACTGGGACAAAGACAGGAGCTATAAATCCCTGGTTTATGACAGCACTGAATATATTGCCACAGTAACTCTTTGATGTCCTGTGCTCAGGACATCACAGTATTTTCCCTTAATAAACACTCCTCCAAGCTGACCTTCATGTTTCACACATTCTCTGATCTCTCAGCCATTTCCACAGATCAAACACTGGGACAGGGACTTTCCTGTGGATTCAGTTAACCAGACTGAGTCACAGGCTTTAATTTCCAACTCTTATTTAAATATCCTGACAATGACCAGAGCAGCTGGGAAGATTGGTTTTGTTTGTTTCCAGGGTTTGAAGTGAGCCTCAGACCCTGTGTGTTGAGCTAATCTCAAGAGCTGCATTAGAGCTGATAGCAAACTGCCAGGAAAAGGGGCTGGCTGCACATGCTCTCCCTCAACAGGCCTCCAGAGCATCTCCAGGCCAAAGGTATGTGAATTCCGAGCCTCCTGATGGCTGGAATTGTGGGAATAGAAGGAGATGACACTCCTTCTGCCCTCCAGAATTTCCTCAAGACAACAAATTAGCTGGGAGTAGTTGTGCCCATTCCACAGAGAGCAGCAAAAGTGGAGTCACCGGCAGAGCCTGCCCCTCTGCTTCTCTGGGGTTTTTTAAACCACTGGAGATGGTTTTAAAATGGTGGCTCTGGTTGCAGGATGGGCTGATGGTTACAACTTGCAACAGGTCAACTGGATATTCAGAATGTCCTCAAAAATTTTTAACAAGTAACCTGGGCACTCTGCTTCAATGACACTTAGACTCAGTCAATTGGAAATAGAAAAAAAGTAGTGATATGGTCCATAAGGGCAAGAAAAGACCTTTCTTTAGGGCCTTAAAAACCTACAAGTGCTACATAAATATCATCATTCACTCCAGTTAAAATCTGGTAGAATTCCTCTTGCAAAATAGGAAAGACTATAAAATGACCACTGCCCTGAGCTCTGCTGGCCCCAGATGTGGCATCCACCTGCACTCCAGGGGAAGGCCCCATTCCCATTGTTCCAGAGAAGAGCTTTCCCCAGGAGTGCAGGGGTCCAAGAGCACAAAGCTGGGGAACAGGGCAGGGCCCTGGCAGCCACACCCAGAGCCATCCCAGCCCTGCAAGGGGCCTTCCTCCTGCTCAACAAAGCCACCATAACTGCTTCTCACTCCAAACCAGTAGCTATGGTTACTAGATACAAAAGACAGTCCTGCTGCTTCCCTGTGGCCAGAGGAATTCCAGGCACTTGGAGCAAACACACCAGACAAAGAAGCCGGTACAAGGAAGAGAAAGAAAATGAATCAGACAAAAATCACAACATATTTTGGCTTTCATATTCAAAATCTGAGGCGGTCAGAGCAAAGAAAATCTTGGGAGGCTTCAGAGGGAAAAATGGAAATCAAAGGAAAAACTGAAAACTTTCTCCACCTCAGAAAGCACATAAACATCACCCACTAATGCAGGAAAATGCCAAGTGCCGTGTTCACCAAGAGAAGAGTTTGGTGCATGTATCTGACAGTACTTTCTGTGTGTTCTCCATATTTTACCTCCACTCCTTCATGTCATGGGTCACCCCTGTCCTGGCTCAGTGGAATCCAAACCAGACTTGTCTGTACAGGTACCTGCCTGGCAGTGCCAGAGGACAGGACAAGGAGACCAGTTCAACCCCAATCACACTTTCCAGTAAAAGGCTCGATATGTTCCTGACATGACCTTATAATCCCTAGATGACTAAAACAGATGTCTAGGCCCAGCAGATCTCCAGGCACCCATTCCAGAAGGAAAAGAGAAATCTGTTTTTCAGGGTGCATAAGAAATTGTATACAAGGGTGACAGTGGAGCCCAAAGACATGTTCTTGGCACCCTGAAAAATCCCAGTATGCTCAAGTATATTCTTTGGCTACAGAAAAAGTCTTCAATGTGGAAAAAACCCACAAAACAAAACAACCTTCCACCAGTGTAATAGTGTGTTTTGTTACCTCATCACTTCTTGCACTTTGAGGATGGATCTGCTTTCTTCAAAATTTCTAAATGGGAACACTCAGGTACTGTGATCACCCTCCACATTTTGCCCCAGATGTATCTGGCATTGCACTCCCCTGGGTACACTGCTCTTGTGCCCAGATGTATTTCTAGAGCACACAGGATGGAAGTACAGCTCTGTATTTCTTCTGTATGGGCACAACCAAAAAATTCAGACCTTTCCTTTGGAGAAAATGCTTACTATAATAGCTGAATACCTAATTACACGAATACTTAATTACTCTTAGCTCTTGTGAATAAATGCATACATCTAATGTGCACAGGGAGAAAGATGAAAGGAGACAAGAAATAAACAGAAGGAAAAACATATCTAGAATGAAATGTCTGTTTATCTTCCAGAGAAAAGTTTTCAGGCTTCAAATCTGTGAGAGGGACAATTTGTTCAGCAATCTTTGCAATACGAGGGCAGGTCACAGGTTTGATCCAAAGTTACTGCACAGTAGCTGGGTAAGAATGAGGCACAGAAGACAAAAAAACTTACCCCAGAACAAGAGGAAAAGTGGCAGCAGGAGAGCAGCATTGCACGCCCCGGAGGTAGTTTTCTTTAATTCCATGACAGCCTAAGGGTGGCTGTTCCGAGACCCTCCGGGGAGAGACAGGAGCCGGAACGCAGCAGCCCCGTGCTGTGCCCACATCACGGGCAGGGGCGGACTGTGCCCAGGCCGGGCTCTCGCTCCATGCCGGGCTGGGACCGGCACTAACCCTTACTGGGACCAGCCCTAGTCCTTACTGGGACCGGCACCAACCCAGGCTGGGACCAGCACTAACCCAGGCTGGGACCGGCACTAACCTGGGCTGGGACCGGCACTAACCTGGGCTGGGACCAGCGCTCCCCCTTATTGGGATCGGCACTAACCCTTACCGGGACCAGCCCTAACCCTTACTGGGACCAGCCCTAACCCTTACTGGGACCAGCACCAACCCCGTGGACAGAGTCCCGGCAGCGCGAGCCGCCCTCGTGCTCGGGAGCGCCGCGAAAACGCTGCCTGGATCGCACGGACGGGATCGCCCCGGGGCACCGGGACGGGGCTGGGCGGAAACAAAACTGGGGTGGGGTTTTTTCATCTGCTTTTTGAACTGCCCCTGTATAATGCAGAAACCACGCCTGGTGTCTCCCCCACGGCCGTGAGAGCACCTCAGAGCTGTCTGGACACGGGCTGTTTGCAGGATGCAGGTTCTGTATCAGCCCATATTTACAAATTCCAGAGGAGGATCGACCGCAGCTCTCTGAGAGAGGCTGCTTTGCTCAAAGAGAAATAAGACAAAAGCGCTCTGTTAACCCCAAAAAGCAGGGCCAGCCCACATTAGTCTTTACTGCTGTCTCAGCATGAGATGATGATCCCACAGGACAGATGAACTCACAACGTGTACAGGAACCCTCTTCCCAGGTAAGGAACAGTCACAGAGATCAGCACAGGTACCTGCATAACACAGGCACCAAATCACACCACCACTGCTGGATGCACGGGTTTAGTTTGAGAAGTGGAAAAAGTTATCAGTGAGCACTGTTTCCTGAGAGTAACTGGAAAAGGACAGAGTCCACACTCAGCTGAGACCTCCTAAGCACCTCTAAATCCACATCACAATTGGATTAAACCAACTGTAATGAGAATTACGTTCATTGCCTCACCCTTCACTGACAGCTAAAAATAGAAGGCAGGTAAGATGCCAGACAAATTCCTAGTTTAAACAAGAAGTATGCAAGATGGCAAGGAACTGGTGCAGCCAGAGCCAGGCTGCACATGAGGAAAACAGGAGCAATCCTACAGTGAGTAATTTGTATTCTCCAGTATCCTGCAGGGCAGCAGAGGCTGGTGGAATGTGTGCAGGGAAATGGGAAAGTTACTGCAGGGTTTTTACCTTCAGTGCAGAAGTAGAACAGCCACAGCAAGAGCCTTTTCACCACCCAAACTCTGCAGTTCAGGAACAAATGGTTCATCTCACTGTGCTGCCTTAGAATGCTCTAAAGATGATATATCATGTGTTATCAACCTTATCTGGACCACCCTGCCCCCACTTTCATCTCTGGTGTCTTCAGTTTGTTTTCTCAAGATCAGGCTCAGTATTAGTTTCTTGCCAGTCACCACAACCATCTGGAGCTCATTTGTGTCTCCTCAGACTCTCCTTTTGCTGTCAGGGGACATAACCAAACACTGACATGTGCACAGTCTTTCTGCTCAGAATATTTTTGCCTCACCTGTGTGGATTATGCTCCCAACAACTCACCTTTTCCAAATCCCAGCAAACACCTATGAATCACTGCACAATTAACACTCAACAAACCACCGTTCCTCCTCAGCTGGAGCCAGGCACTGCTGGAAGTCAACCCGAGCAACACTTCACAACACTTGGAAAACACAGCTATCCATGGGAATTTATGGCTCCTGTGACTACAGGAAGGATATGCTCAGCTGTCATAAAACAGCATCAGTGTAACAAACCCCCACAGGTGGAAGGTGCAGGTCCTCCCACAGAGCTGTGGGAGCTCTGCTGTTCCTGTGGTCTGCAACACCCCAAAGCCTGGACAGAGCCCTGACTTGGGGCACACCAGCCAGACTCAGGGAAGGCAAAACACCTACATCCAACTGCCTTATAATAATCAACCCAGTGTCTGCCTGTGAGGACATTAGAACTGAATTCTTTCAACATTCATGGTTGCAATTTTACAAGATTTGCCAGCATAAATGGCAAACCATTCCTGTGCTGGACCCCCTGGGCATACAAAAGCCAATGTGGGTATTAACCAGCTTAGTCCAATTAAAGAACCCTAATGCAACTCTGTGAAGGCCCTAATTTGCTAGGCTTGACTACATTTCCAAAGGAGCACAATTGGGTGGATTTGTTATCTAAAGCATAAGCTCCAAGTCCTTAGTCATCCTTGCTAAAGCCTTCCCCAAACTGGTCATGGTTTGTGCTACCTCCGCATCGCTGCCGGCCCACGTCACCATAATCTGCTCTTTAAAATAGTATTAAAACTAGAGGCAAAGGCCACAGCTGCTTTCCTGGTGTAACACTCATTACCAGAGACTTAAGGACAGCATAACAGCGAGGCTTCTATTCTCAGCCCGGGGCAGGAAACCTGGCAAGCCGGAAATGCATGCCATGGAAATGGGGCAGCAGTGGGCAAGCGGGATTAGGGGAAAAGCAGGAAGAGGAGAAAGTAGGTCTGGGGTGCTCAGCAGAACCTTCCTGTCTCCTTATTCTATATTGGTTTGTGTACTTGTCACGAAACAGTCCTATACACCTGTCTACAAACAGTTCAGAGGGAACCATGCAGGAAAGCACCTCAGCAAGTGTGTGCTTTGCATTCAAAGAACAATGTACACGTGCATGAGTTTCACAAGCTTTCTCCCACAGGGCTTAAAATAATCCTAATACTCCAGATTGGATACTAGAGACGTGTGACAGGCTGGGAAATATCAGTGGTAGGAATAAAGGCATTCCTACCTCCTGTCACGTGCACCTGCAGCAGCCCCAGAGGACAGAGCCTCACCTTCCCTCCTCACCTCCTTCTGGAACCCCTGAACACAGATCTACTGCACTGCACTGAACAATGCAACCCAACAGCATCAGAATCATGATTATTTCCTCCAGCTTTGTCCTCCACGGGTCATTGGGCACAACCATACACAAAAGAGTCCATACTAACAGTTGTTGCAGACTTGGGAAGCTGAGTTAGTAAAAAAAAAAACTTCCACTCAAAAACTGTGTGCAAAACCTGACTGCTTCAGTTCACTCCTGCTTTCAGTCACTGCTGAGAAGTGCCAGGCCTGCTGAAAAGTGCCTGTTTTTAAAAATGTCAGGTTTTGGAGTTTCAAGTTTCCAGACTCAAAGGCCAATTCTGTGACCTGAAAGTTCAAGTACAGTCTGGTGATCTAATGCTTGAGGGTTCCCCAGGGCCCAATCTCCAACTCGAAACTGATCCCCAAAGCCCTGAACACGCACGGTCCCCACTCTCCCATCAGGTCACCACTAGATGTCCCTTCTGCACCGCCGAAGGCAGCTCCGGCCCGTGTGAGCACAGGAGAGTTGGGAAGAGGATCCAGAGCTGTGGACACACCCCGAGGTGCTGCAGGGCCGAGCCAGCAGCCCAGGGAACACTGCAAGGCCTATTGCAACACCCCGGCGGCACAGCCCAGCAAGAGCTCGGGCTGGGAGTCAAAACTTAAGAGTTGCTGTTAAACCTTGGCAAAATCACACAAAATTTCCAGTCTTGAGACATCCTAGCTGTGCTTTTTAGACACAGTAAATTAAGTTTCCTATCATTGCTAATCAGAAGTGCTGGCAAGGAAATGATGCTGCCTGATAAATGAGAGTGCTGAGCATATGGTCTGTCCCAGGCAACGGCAGTGGAACAACAGGCCTGGCAAGGCAGAGCAGGGAGGTCCCACAACGACTTCAGCAGAGAAATGACATCTTAGCAGAACTTTCTCTAATCCTACCACCAGCAATTGCTCAGAGAATTCCCAGTTTTGCATGCAGACTGTGGGAGGTCAAAGGCTAGGATTTGAAAAGACCAAATTCAAACAGGTTTGCCTGAGGCCTGAAATCACCTCCCCTGCCTTGCAATACTGGCTGCTTGTGCAGAGATCTTCATTGCATGGGTCCTCCCCAAAAAAGAGCAAATTGTAAAGACCTTAACAGGGATATCCAATACGTGCACAGCACCTGTGCCTTCCTCTCCCACAGACAACCCACACAGGGAGCAGGTTGTGGAAAAGCCAGGGTTATCTCCCAAGGAACTCACAGAAGCCAGGCTCTGACCATGGATGTACCCTTTGATCTATGTGAGATCCCCCTGGTGTGCTGCAGGTCAGCTCCATGCCCCTTTGATTCTCCTCCCCTGCATACAGGGGAGGTGAATCCCTTCCAAGGGGCCTCTCTGGCAGATGGGAAGATGGGAATGTTGATCAGCCTACAGGAAGAAGCTGAAACAGCGTAAAAAGGGTCCCAGGCAAGGTTTTCTGCAGTAAAATGTTATAGCAGGAAGGATATGCCCAATACATTGCCAGGATCCGAGAATGTTTTGAAGACGTGCTTACCATTGCGAGGGGCCCTTTTGCTGCTGTTTTTGTCCCAGATGACCCAACATGTTTGTAAATATTGCTTGTCAGTGTGAGCTCAGGGGAGCCACTGGAGGGCAGCGCTGGGCAGTTCTCTCTCCACCAGCCCAAACCAGCGTGGAAGGGCTGAATTAGCAGCTGTTTGCTGCAAACGTCTGCACTGCTGGAGCCCTGGAGCCAGGCCGTGCCCAGGGCGCCTGCGAGGCTTCCGGGGAAGAGCCAAATGCTCAGCCAGGACCAAAGGAACCGGCAGCCAGAGCCAGAGGGAGAGAGGCTGGAGAGGCTGCCCTGCAGCGCAGCCTGGCTCAAAGGAACCTCAGCATGCAAGTTTGTATCCCGTGAAGGCCAAACACGGGGGTGGGAGAACAGGGAATGCTGGACCTGACAAACACATCCAGCTGCACCGCGTGAGCTGGGAGCTCTGAGGATGAGTTCAGCCCCAAAGTCCTGTGCCTGACATCTGTCTCTGCCATGGAAATGGCACCTCTGAACGCTGCACAAATCAGCAAGCTCTGCCTCATTTTCCTTCCAGCTGCAACCTCTGCTTTCTCTCACAGGCTTCACACACAGTCTGCTCCTAATGAGGCCTCTGGGAAAACTGGACACTCTCACCACAGTAGGTGGCAGGAAGGAAAATGGATGCAGACCGTGAATGTGCCAAATACTGAGGAATGAGTAATTTTCTCCAAGAAGCCAAGGATGTGGGGCTCACTTTTGTGCAGCTGCACCCTAATGAACACTAAATACTCCCACTACCTCCAAACCTAATCAGGTAACTAACCAGGCACGTTTGTTGGTACGAAGGCAAGGGACAACTGCACAGGAACAGTCCCATGTTCCACCTCCTGACTCAGAGCT